AATTTAACCAAATGACAAAAATATTGTGCTTTTGAAACAAAGAATGAGTTATTACTTGTGCATTTGTATTGGTTATGACTAACTAAGTTCAAAAAATATATATATGTATATATAATAATATAAATATTAAATATCAAATTTGTTTGTCTCAATTACATTTATTCCTTCAAAATAATAGATCTTGTAAAAATTTCAAAGGGAAAAAAAAAATCTAAAAGCATCATATTCACGTGCAAAGCACGTGCTCCATTACTAGAATAATATATATGTTGCACACTCTGTTTTCCACTTCCAACAATTAAGCTAATTAAACTTATAATTCAACTTTCTTTTACATTCAATTGGACATGCTAAGCACCATTGCCATCGTGTGTTTCGCGGTTTATGAACTCCTAGTGGTCAAACAAAAAATCAAGCAAAACATTTGGAATCCAATTGTCCAAAAGACAACCGCTGACCAACGGGAAAATACCGGTTTTCATCCCCAAACTTTGGGCACAAGACACATTTCGTCCCTCATCTTTTGGGCATGACACATTTGGTGTCTGAATTAACAATTTTTGACCAAATGTCATCCTCAGACGGCAATTTAACCAACCTTTAACGGACCGTTAAGTAAATGTGGCTAACCGAAGCAAAATCAGGTGGAAAATGACGTTGTCTTCACTTCCTCTGCAAATTTCCAAGACTAAGCTCCTACTGCAAATTTCTCCAGAGTAAACCCCTTCTTCCAATTATAAATATATAATTATAATTATATAATACATATAAATATTACTTAAACTAATATTTTATATAATTATAATGTATATTAGATATTAAATTTAATCATTATATAACCTTATATTCATAATAATAAATATAAATATAATTATATAATTTATTGATATTATATACACATATATATTATAAGGGATAATTTCATAAACCTCCCCTAAATTAGCTTATGGAAAAATGGGAAAATGGATAATTTATGGAGAAAAGCCATAAAGTGCTGGTGTTTTATTGGCGAACTGGTTTATTTTTATTTTATCCGATAAATAAATTTGTTTATGAAAAAATGGGTACTCTGTTCTTATAATAGAGGAAAGCCATAAAGAGTTGAAGTTTTATTGGAAAACGAGTTTATTTTTATTTTATTCGATAAATAAATTTATTTATGAAAAAATGGGTACTCTGTTCTTATAATGGAGAAAAGCCCTAAAGAGCTAGTTTTTTATGGGAAAGCGATACTTTACAAAAAGTGACCGCGATTTGGTTTATGAAATTATCCAAAAAAATAATTTAGAATGAATTTGTTTATTTAATTAAATAATTATTATATATATTTATATAATGTATTATATAATTATACTAATATATTTTATGAGTATAAAGTATATTATACATTAATTATAATTTTTAGTATATATTAGTATATTTATCACAATAAATATAAATATAATTATATAATATATTATTACTATATACACATATATATTAAAATATATGCACATATAATATATATTTATAAATATATATAAATATATTATTAGGGTATATACCCTAATAACTATAATATATTTAGGGTAATAACTATAATAACTATACCCTAATAACTCTAATATATTTAGGGTAATAACTATAATATATTTATATATATATATTTATAAATGTATATTATATGTGCATATATTTATAATATATATGTGCATATATTTATAATATATATGTGTATATAGTAATAATATATTATATAATTATAATTATATTTATTATTATAAATATACTAATATATACTAAAAATTATAATTAATATATAATATACTTTATAATCATATAATATATTAGTATAATTAATATTTATATATATAATATAGTTATAATTATATATTTTATAATAATATTAGTATAATTATATTATGCATTATATAAATATATATATAATAATTATTTAATTAAATAAACAAATTCATTCTAATTTTTTTTTTTGGATAATTTCATAAACCAAATCGCGGTCACTTTCTATAAAGTATCACTTTTCTATAAAAGACTAGCTCTTTAGGATTTTCCTCCATTATAAGAACAGAGTACCCATTTTTCCATAAATATATTTATTTTCGAATAAAATAAAAATAAACTCGTTTTCCAATAAAACTTCAGCTCTTTATGGTTTTCCTCTATTATAAGAACAGAGTATCTATTTTTTCATAAACAAATTTATTTATCGGATAAAATAAAAATAAACCAGTTCTCCAATAAAACACCAGCTCTTTATGGCTTTTCTCCATAAATTATCCATTTTCCCATTTTTCCATAAGCTAATTTAGGGGAGGTTTCTGAAATTATCCCTTATAATATATATGTGTATATAATATTAATAAATTAGATAATTATAATTATATTTATTATTATGAATATAAGTTTATATAATGATTAGATTTAATATCTAATATACATTATAATTATATAAAATATTAGTATAAGTAATATTTATATGTATTGTATATTTATAATTGGAAGAGGGGGTTTACTCTCAGAGAAATTTGCGGTAGGAGTTTAGTCTTGGAAATTTGCAGAGGAAGTTGTTGAAGTGAAAGAAAAAGGGAAAGTGAAGACAACGTCATTTTTCACCTGATTTTGCTTCAGATAGCCACATTTACTTAACGGTCCGTTAAAGGTTGGCTAAATTGCCGTCTGAGGATGACATTTGGTCAAAAATTGTTAATTCAGACACCAAATGTGTCATGCCCGAAAGATGAGGGACGAAATGTGTCTTGTGCCCAAAGTTTGGGGATGAAAACCGGTATTTTTCCGCTGACCAACACTAACGCCACATCCAAATTTACCAAAACACTCACGCACAGACGCACTCATGGTGCCCATAAATAAGAGATCATGAATCACTGTTAGGGCATATATGATTTAATCAAATTAATATCCTATTATTTAAGTTTGTTTGATTATTTTAACGAGTTTAAAATTTTGTTCAAATTTAACTTATTTATTTGTCGAATCAAATTTGGACGAGTTTTTTTATCAAGTTTAAATGTTATAAAATATAAAATATTGTTTAAATTTAATTTGACTAGTTAGGCATCCAAGGTTGAACAAGCTTTTATCAAACCAAACTTAATTCGATTATCAAATAGGTCAATTCATCTTTTAGCTCTAATCACTATTCATAAACCCAACTCCCCCATTTTTTGTTAGGGATTTTATATTTTGACGGCTAACATTCGTAGTTTACAAACTTATTCTTACAAGTTTACCAAATTTGATCCCAACTATTGAATTCAAACAAGGGTTAATCGCACTTTATCCCCTTTAAGTATGGGTCATTTTTCAGTTTACCCCTCAACGCTTATTTTTCCTCAGTTTACCCCTCCGTTAGTCCAGCTAAGCAATTGCACCGTTAAAAATGTCAAGATGCCGAAATTGCCATTGGAAGAGAGCGATTGTGTTTGCTGATTAAAATGTCCCTCAATCAGTTGTAAAAGAGGGTAATATAAAGCATGCACAGGTAATATAAAGCATATATCTATTGTTGTCCCACAAAAAAAAAATCCTAATTTGTCTTTCTAACAGCCATATAGCCAACCAAAGTAAACAAATAATCCAGCAAATCAATAATCCAACAATAATTGATTGAGGTGTCCAGGACTTTCAAGCCACATGCCTCGATTGGGGTATTCTTTAAGAGGATAAAATGTGATTAACCCTTTTCTTAAGGATATTTCTATCTTTTCATTATTCTGTTAATCTCTAGGGTTAATCACATTTTGTCTCCTTAAAGAATATTTCATTTCTCAGTTTAACCCCTAACCTTTAATTTTGCTCACTTAACCCCCTTTAGGACAAAATTACCCTTGCATTGTTTTGACTTTTCATTTACCTTGTTTTCCTTTCTTTTATTTCCTTTTCTCTTTTTTCTTTATTTAATTCTTCCTCTTTCCCACAAAAATTTTCACCTTAATGATTGAAATTAAAAAAGAGGAATTGCAGAGATCTATCTTCTCCTTAAATGATTAAAAATATATTCAAATCACTTTCATAAAATACAATTTTTATAGCCTTTCAATTCTTTTAATTTTGGATTTTTCTCTTTCCTTTCTAGTTTTTCATTTTATTCTCAAGAAAATATCATAAGATGAAATTGTTTTACTTTCTTTTATTTCTTTTTCTCTTTCTTCTCTCTTTCATCCTTCCCAATTGAAATTCCATTTCAACGAAAATTTTTGTTTTGAGTTTGTAATTGCATATTTCTAGGTGAAGGTTTAAAAGGCATCAAAAACTAATTTTGATTTTTTGTATGATGCCACGTGTCACAAATTTCAATTGATGATTATTAATCAAGTCACAATTTCATCTTATGATATTTTCTTGGGAATAAAATGACAAACTAGAAAGGAAAGAGGAAAATCCAAAATTAAAAGAATTGAAAGGCTAAAAAAATTGTATTTTAGGAAAGTGAGTTGAATATTTTTTTTAATCATTTAAGGAGAAGATAGATCTCTGCAATTCCTCTTTTTTAATTTCAATCATTACGGTGAAGATTTTTGTGGGAAAGAGGAAGAATTAAATAAAGAAGAAAGAGAAAAAGAAATAAAAGAAAGGAAAACAAGGTAAATAAAAAGTCAAAATAATGTAAGGGCAATTTTGTCCTAAAGGGGATTAAGTGAGCAAAATTAAAGGTTAGGGGTTAAACTGAGAAATGAGTTATTCTTTAAGGGGATAAAATGTGATTAACCCTAATCTTTATTGGAGTTGACCGTTAGCCTTGGGGGTAAATTGAAGAAAAACAAACGTTGGGGGGTAAACTGAAATATGACCCATATGTAAAGGGGATAAATTGCTATTAACCCTTCAAACAATACCCAATTTCGGGCCTGAACACCACCCTTTCTTAGCAATTTGACTTTAGCTTCAATTAGATCCAAAACCAATACTCAGTATTTGAAACTCTTGAGGTGATACTACTTAGTACACAACTACCTTAAAAGCACAACCTAAGTCAACTGATGATGTTTTCCTCCGGTGGCAACGACGGGGCCGGACCCAGCTCATCTGCGTCTGCCCCAGAAATCTCCGGTAACAACAACAAGAACAAAGGGATCGCTAGAGCTCCAAAAAGAACCTCACTCCTATCATTGAATGACCTCTTGACCTTCCGACCGCTTATTTCACCATCAAAATCAAACTCCCAAAACGGCGCCTGCTCTCATGACGACGATGACAACAGCCGCCCACCAGCTGTTCGACGTTATGCCTCCACGTCGTCTGGGGCTTGCATAAGCAATCACGAAGATCTCTTACTTCAGATATTACTCCCTTTACCCCCAAAGTCTCTTATTCGCTTCCAGTGTGTCTCCAGACAATGGTTTTCTCTCATTTCCAGCTCCCATTTCTGTCGTCTTCATTCGGGGATGTATCGAGTATTTTCTCTGGAGGTCGGTCTGTTCTTATTCCGAAGAATATATGGGACTTCAGAGTTCAAAGCTATCTCTCTTCTTCAGGATGGCAGCTCACATTCAATAGGTATTCTGGCTTCCCGTTTTGCTCATTTTCTTAATGCAGATGGCCAAGTTCTTGGTTTACATTGTTGCAATGGGTTGATGTGGGTTGATTTTTACTGGAATTATGAAGTAAGGAGGTATTATGTGTATAACCCGACTACCAATCAGTATAGGCAAATTCCCATACCCGAGATTGATAGATATTCAAGAAGGATTGAAGCTGTAAATATTGTTTTTGATCCTTTGACATACGACCAGTACAAACTTGTTTGTGTATTTGCGAAATTGATAGCTGGGGAGGATGCGTGGGGAGAATTTATCTTCTGGCAGTATTCATCTGAAACTCAGGCTTGGAAGGATTGTGGTGGTATTGATATTTGGGATGAAACAAATTACGGCTACTATTTCGAGGAGGGAGTGTTTTGGGATGGTAATTGGCATGAATCGAATGACAGTTACTATTTTGAGAAGGGAGTGTTTTGGGATGGCAATCTTTATTGGGTAAATTCTGCCAGGTCTTTACTTTGTTTTGATTTCGAGCTGGAATGTGTTAGAAGCTTGAATGTTATGAATACTTATCCAGCATCACCTAATGGGGTTGTTTTCTACTTCGGTAATTGTGGGGGAAGTTTGCATCTCATTGATCTCTATAAGCCAAGAGATGATTTTCTTAATGTATTTGAATTGGAAATGGATATGGGTTTGGGGAGATACCATTCAAGATGGTTGCTCAAGTATCGTGTTGATCTTGGTCTTTTGACTGCACGGTATCCATTAATGTCCGATGAGAAGTTTGTTAATTATCGGGAAAAGGAATTTCCCTTTGGTATACTATGTTTTCAGGTGGATAAGAAAGCAAATAAGGCAAAGCTTATAATTTCTTTACCAGGTAAAATTATTTCCTATGAGATTAGTGACATGATTTTTGAAGAGCTTGTTGAAATAGAGCCTGCATATGTTAAATTTGTAAGGTATAATATGTCAATATACACATGGAAGGATGCCTTCAATCATTTTGAGATCCTTTCTTGTGTCTGACAACTGTTATCTATTGTTATTATTCATTTTGAGACCCTTTCTCGAGTTTGATAACTGTTATCCATTGTTATTTTGTGCATTTGCCAAATGACTTGATCAATTGCTTCTTCATTCAGGCATGAAGACTCACTTTCTTGTGTGCTTTTCATTAACCATTTTCTTGTTTGTTGAGGCATAAAGACTCGACTTGCCTGCCATTATGCTTCTTATTTTCTTTTTGGTTGACGGAGAACTTAGGAAGGCAAACCAACTTATCTTACCAACCTCAGGATGAAGTAAGAGTCGGATGACCAGAACTGGATAGCATGGAATAGAAGGGTCGAGAATTAAACCTCCTTCCTTGCACTACAGATTTGTGTTGCCCTCTGCCACTGGGTTACATTTGCAAGGAAGTCTTATTTTTTAAGGCTCTAAGGAGCGTTGCAATTTCCCAGATCAATTTTTGATTAATTGAGCATTATTTTTTAATTTTCTTTTTCTTCTATGGCCTCTTGGATACAGAAGCAGTGATTTCATCTGATACTAATGAAACTCACATGGAGGTGAGTATTAGAAATAAACTATAATAAGGTAGTTGAGCGTGGTATGTTCTAAGTCTGTGGATATCATAGCATAATTTTTTAGAAGGTTAAAAAAAGGTGTAAAAGTTCATAAATAGGAAAGCCAAAGTTGGTTATAGGATGTATATTTACCTCAATATACCCATGATGCATGGAGCTTAAGTAAATACGATAAGAACCTTCAAAGTCTTATTATTAGTTGTTTGTTGAACTATAATGAGGCAATTCTGGGTAATCTGTCAAGGATGGCAATGTTGTGTGCTTGCATTCTTGAGGCCTAATGGGGCCTTAGAAGAGGGGGTTGGAGCTTGGATGGGGAAAAAAATTCATGATTGTGCTAAATAAAGCAGGGGCTGGGGAAAGGTCCTTCTGCCTTCTGTTTATATGTTTACCATAAATATATGTATTTCATGTATTTTGAAGTTCTTATCTGATCGTGCATAAGTTAGTTATTTGAATTCTAGAATCCATCAGCCTAACATGCTGGTACACTGAGGAATCAATCATGGTAAGGTGCTCAGTTGCTGCATTTTAGTTGATGAACTAACTAGAGACAAGTTCATTCAACTTGCATGCAGTATGATGCTACATGGAATCATCCACAGAGCGGAAGGTGTTCAATTATATATAATTAATCAGTTGATCTCCAGAATCCTAGACTCGGTTTTGATACTTTAAATAACTAAAGCTCATCAGTAAATTAATTGGCAGATGATCGGAAGTTATGGAGCTTGGTTTTATTTGTTCTGATACGATCGTGAATAAGGTTACCTGCATAAGTTTCTTTTCTCAATGGTTGTTATCAAGTCTATCTTCATCAAACCCAAGTTCTATTTTGCCTCATTGAGCTTTAAGAGTGAAGTCATGACGAAGAAAATAGCTGTATGTGGTTCTTTCTGGGAAATGGATAGGGATAGGGATAAATATCCGAGCATTACCTAAAGAAATTCGGCTTGTCTTTTTAGTCATAATGCTTTTAGTGAGAAGAAAACTTCAGCCAATTGAAATGTTAAGATTTCAAATTAAGTACTCGTCCTTTAATAGGCGAGTAAGGGTTTGTTTGATAACATACAAAAGTGCTGAAACTGAATCTTTTCAGATATTCAGATGTTTTGAGTGTTTGATAAATGAAAATCCATCTGCTGAATTTGTTAAGCAGTGCTGAACTTGTGTATATTTTTTTCAGCACAAAAATCCGAACTAAATGCTTAATTCTGATAAGAATCAATAGAATTACTTTAATTACTTTATCTTATCTACCAAATCTATTATTGTATGTTAATTATGTTCAAAATTCTTATCTAATTAAACAACCTGATATTCTCTATTTAACGATTTTCTGTTTCTCTTTTCTTTCTTTTTAATGACTTTCACATCTTTTCCATATTTCTCATATGATATATTTCACTTTTTATATTAATTTGATTTAAAAATAAATATTGTCATTTTCATACCTAATAATTTTAACTTAATTAAATCATAGGTGCTATTTCTTTTTTGAATGAAAAGATATAAGGGCTAAATTGTCAAATTAAACTTATTAAGCATTCAGTTATAAATATTTATCAAACAGTATAAATAAGTTTAGCATTAAAATTCAGACATTCATATATTTCTTTTCAGTGCTTAAAATTTAGCAAATTAATTGTTTCAGTATTCAGATTTCAGAATTCAGATTCAGTTTTATGAAACGGAACCTAAGACTATATAAGTCCTTTATTTTCTCCTCTATGGTTAAGCTATAAGCCTATAACCATAATTAGTATGAATATTTTAGAAAAATCAAAAAAGTGAGAAACACCAAAATGTAAATCTTTAAGGGTAGTAATAGTTCAAGTGCTTTACACGTGATTGTAATATCTTAAAATATATTATTCTTTAGACACTAAACATTTTTTATGAAATTTTGATCATCAACATCATAATATAGTTTTTTTCATGTTATTTATTTTTTTAATCTAGTTACTTTTAAAAATTTTATTAAATGAAAAGAGACAGAAACCATTCTAATGTAGTTGACATGTCCCTTAGGATTAAATTTGAAATCATGAATCAAACACTTTTTGATTTATAGCTTGAACTCTAACATATCAAATATTAATAATATCATGTTTTACCAAAATTATTGTATGTTCATGATTCTATTGCATATGAACCATGACCATCACAATTTTTTACATATGAAGAATATGATTATGTTAGTAAAATAAAAATACATGTAATTTGAATTCTTTGTATTATGTTAATTTTATTTTTGTCAATAATGGAGCAAAATGATTCACCACGTAAAGTTTTTTTGACTTGTATATTTTGACAATTGAAATTTTATAGACAGAGATAGTTGAAGTTTTTCTATTTTCCTTTTCTTTTATTCATATTTTTAGCACAATCCAATGCGAAGCAAAAGTAACAAGTCTACTTTTTTCATATGAGCACAATATTTTTGGTTTTAGTATCAGTTTTAGTTTAAGATCATGGAATTGCAATGAGAATGGTGGCTAATTAACAATCTTAATATTGATTTTTTGTATATTGTCGTGTTTTATTTTTTAATTACCAACTTTTAATCCATAATTGCTATTATTATTATCAATTATTGGAATGTACTAAATCCGTCTAATTACAATTGTCACCAGAAATGAAATTTACTTAATTTTAAAGCTTTTCATTTCATAATCGCTTCCATTATTCACTAATATTGCAATACAATAAATATATGTAATTATTAGAAAAATAAGGGTATTTCGGACATCACAAAAAATAATTTGGATATCTTTTTCATTGTATCATTCTTCATGTTAAATTTACTCTTATTAGAATTTTTATTTTATCATTGGAAATGGCTTCTAATTTGATGGATGGATTTGGTTTGCTCAAACAAATACAAATAAAGCATTATTATATTATTGTCAATAACAATGTTTGTCTTCCTCTGGATATCAGTGATTTGGATGTTGTTTTTGGAATTATTTGAATTGTATTCTAGCTTTTTAATTCATTTGCTACTTACTTTATGTTATTTTATAATTAGTTTTCAATTTTTTTTTTAGTTTTTCTTGTTTTGATCAGCTGCTATTAATGATAATAGTGGTTTGTATGATATTATTTCAGATTTCTTTTTTCCTGTTTAATATGCTATTTTTGTTATAAACGTTTCATCATTTTTTGTGTGTTGAAATTCCATAAAGTGCAACATGAAAAATTCTTCTTATTGGTAAAAAGTGCATAATTGTAAAATTTACTCGTGATATTTGAATGAAGATATATAAATAAATAAGGGTTCTCTTCTCCTTATATGTTTCTCTGTTTTCTAGAGAGTATCTATTTTTTAAATTTTTTTTTTTTTTACAATCTTAACTAATAACTATTGAGAAATTTTTCATGCTTCAATTAAGAAATTTTGATACATATAATAATTGGAGATGGAGTCCAATAGGTAAATAGTTTTTAATGATTATACTATTAAGATGCAATCAATTGGAGTGTTTTATTTCTTTTAATTAGTGCTACATTAAAATGCAATAACTTTAATTAAAAGACATGAGGTTAATTTAGGACTAACAAAAATTAAGATAAAAAAGTGCTTACAGTTACCCTCCAAATACCAAAATCTATTTTTTTTGTATAGTAATAATAATGATAGAGTATAGATAATTATAGAGAAAATTGTATTAATTGTCAACATAACAATAATAAATATAGCTCAAACTTTTAGAGGTCAGTTATCAAATTTAATTGCAGCCATTGAACTCAAAAATTGTAATGGTATATACTATACATAAAGATAATAATTTATAAGTAAATCTTATATGTATAGACAGTGTATGCACATCACCGTTTGATTTATAATATGTGCAAAATTTGAATTTCAAACTTAAATTTTACATAATTATCATTCATAGAACGCTGACAGTATATATACTGTCAATATAAAAAAAAGATTGATCCATTAATTAATGCCATGTACGGTAAGATGCAAAACAATAACAATCTTTTGTTCTAAATACCTTTTGCTTTGTTAGTTTATTTTTTACAAGCAGTGCCCAATTTCCGCCCTGAAGGCTACTCTTTCTTAGCAATTGGATTATAAACTCCGATCAGAACCAAAATCAGTACTCTGTATTTCCAATTCTTGAGGGGATACTACTTAGTACATAACTACTCTTTCTTAGTACAGAACTACCTTAAAAGCACAACATTTAATCAACTGATTATGCTGTCCGCCGGTGGCAACGACGGGGCCGGACCCAGCTCATCTTCTTCTGCCCCAGAAATCTCCAGGAACAACAAGAAGAACAAAGGGATCGCTAGAGCTCCAAACAGAACCTCACTCCTATCATTGAATGACCTCATGACCTTCCGACCGCTTATTTCACCGTCAAAATCAAACTCCCAAAACGGCGTCTGCTCTGATGACGACGATGATAACAGCCGCCCGCC